TACTCAATGTTTCTAAATACATAGAGTAGCCAGAGGTTTTGTATATGGCAAAAAAAATGCTACTAACATCATCCTTCTTTGCTGCAGCAGTAAAGGTTTGCAAGTTGATATCAGAGGTTTCAGCAGCTTTGCACGTTAAGACTAAACAGATTTACAGCAAAAGCAGCAGCACAGACTATACGGCAAATGTAAGGAAGATTATTCAGTAAGAAAATGGTAGAAGACCTATCTTAAGTTCTTACAAACCCTTCAGACTATTTGAAGTAGTAAGCAGTATAAGGACAACATTACCAGTGGCAGTGATCTTATAGTAAAAGAACTTTACTTTGCTTGCTTCTCAGCTTCCTAATGCTTCTTTCCTGCCCCATGCTTATCCCATCCATCTTCCTTTGGTCATACCCTTCCACTCTCCCGTATCTTCCCTCTTTTCCACCCTTCTTCTTGGGGAATCCACTATAGTAATCCTACACAGCTATGGTTTTAATTTTTTTTTTTTTTTTTTTGGGGGCAGTGCTAAAATACTGTGCATTGACATAAAACCACAATGATGTGATGCTGCCACTTGTGCTGGAAGTACAAAAATATATTAATACTTTCAAATCAGTGGGGGGGGGTGTTGGGTGGGCAGAGCACTGCATTGTACCATATCTCATGCAAGAACCCCTCACAGCCATATTAAAAATAAGCTGCCAAGCCACACAGCACACTGCAGGGACTCCTCTCCAACAAGAGACATTTCTGAAGAGATACTTGTTTAAGAGGTTCAGTCAACCTCAACATACTGAGAAACATTTCATTGACATTTGCATATTGTTCTGAAAGAGGCAGTAGAAATGCTTTGGATATTCAGGTCATTTCTCCCTTGCTAAAGAAAGAAGCATGCAAAGTCATTTTGTTTGTTTTAATTGATCACCAGTAGAGTCATAATACATTTCAAAGCAAAATATTCTGTTCAAGGACATTGTGCCAAACATTAAATCTACTTATCAACAAGGCTTAATTTGACTTTATTACCTTTATATACATACAGGTATAATTTTCATTTCACTAGTAGCAAAATTACTCAGTACATTGCATTTTCTGAAGGATGGCAAAAAATAGGACTTCTGTTCTGTCCTTCCATAAACCCCAACCAGAAAAATCACAGGTATAGAAAGTACAGTCACGACTACAGATAAATAGAGTAAGAGCCTCAGAACAAGCTAAGTCCTTATCAGACATGACAATTTCTAGAAGCCTACCTTGCAAAAATACAGTGCATTCCATTAAAGAGTTTTGGGAATTCTCACAATGTCTCTTAATCCTCTTTTGGTAACAAAAGCTTCTATTAACATGTATCCTTCATAAAAATTACTGAATTTGTACTTTTGGAGCATAGGTTGGAAGCTTAATGCAGTCCAAACTGCAGTCTACAATAAGCTCACTCAGGGAGCAAGCAAACGTTGCAAGATTCATCAAGGTCAGAGCCACAGCTCAGCCAAGTCACTCTTTGCTCCTAGTCACTGAGCATCTAGTAGCTAGAGCTACTCAAGATCAGGGACAGACTGAAGGGATGGGAAATGATGCATTCCTTCTACAGCTTTCACAGGTCAGTCACCTGCAAGTTCTTGACAGAAAATGTCAACTGACTGATACTGCACAGGCAACTGTACAAGACTAATTTTACTTATTTACAAAGCATTCATTACATTGCAATTGTTCAGACAATTAAGGGCACAGCTAAGGACCAACAAGGTTTCCACATTTATGCAACCCCTGAAACGTTCTTGTGAGCAACAGAGAATGCAACAGCCAGTAACTATGCAAAAACACTGCCAAGTCTGGCCTTGGGAGGTGGAAAGGTGCATGTAGCTCAGCAGTCTCAAAGGGCAGCCAAGGATTCAGTTATGCTCAGACCTTGCTTTGGTTTGTGCAAAATATTTATTCTGTGCATACAGCTTTAAGACATAATCTGCATTCAGGAAGGAACTGTTGCTCTGTACTTGACAAAAGTGGAGTAACTTTCTAGAACTAGCAAGTAAATGCAGGTAAACAAGGCATATTGAATTTCTCATTTCTCGCTAAACCTTGCAGGTACAATGCCAAGGTCTTTGCCCCTATTCAAAGCAAATGTCATTCATTCAGCACTGTTGTAGGTTTTCTGTTCCATACTCACTGACAGAAGCTACCATTGATTAGCAAACTTTCCAAACTTTACTCAAGTGCCAATGCAGAGAAACTTTTCCTCTGAGGCTTGATGTCTAGGAATCACTGCCCACAAACAAGACCGAATATAAGCTCATGACTGAATATGAATTTAAGTGCTTAGCTGTTCATTTGCTTTCTTTTCCCTACTGTTAAGTTGAAGGAAATCTGACAGCACCAGGAAACACCAAACAGGCATGCTCAAGGCTAAAGACACCAAATTATTTCCTCCGAGATAGTTAACAGGTATCACTCCTCCATTTGACAGGTTCCAGCCACATGCACTCTTAATATCAATTCTTCAGATCTCTACTTTCAAAGTTACACTGCCTGTCTCTTCAAAGTGCTGTTCCGACAAACAATGACGTAACATAAGCAGCTTAGTTCAGAAATAAGTAGTGGAAATCTGCCCCATCATTTTATGAGCCCTGCTTTATAGTAACTTCTGCAAAGGGCAGGGAAACCAACACAAACAGAAGCTTCATTGTAAAGATCCGAGTTTACCAAACTGAGCCTCTCCCAGGAAGGGAGGAATCAACTTCAAGAGGCCTTCAGTTCTAGATAAAACACTTGCACTCATGTTTCCCTGCTCAGTTAAAATCACATCTGAGGTTCTTCTCTGATTTTAAAGATAATTTTGCAAACTTGAGTAGGGAAATAAAAACAGAAATGTAGACATCATCCAGAAAACACTACGAAATGTACAAAGCAGAGGAAGATACTTTCCTCCCAATCTTCAGTTTTAATTTTTTACACATATTTCAAGAGCAATTAAAAATGTGTCTCTCAAAATTAAGTTGCCTGTATGTACTGAAAGCAACATGGGTTTTTAAAGCAGTCCTTCCTTACTAAAAGCAGCTCCCTCAGAAATGCTTTATCTCTCAAGCTGTGTACAGGATTGCAGTCAATCACAGTAATTATATATCCCCATATGTCTTTTTAAACCTATTACTAGACATCATTTGCCCTATAACTATAAAAAGCCATTTGGGTCTTGAACAAACCTATCCTACCAGCAGAAACCTTTAATTTCTGTGTATGCAGACCACACACACAAAGAATTAACAAAGTGTCTCAAGGAAAAAAAGATTATCTTACTCTAAGTCAGACAGCAAGTGACCTGTTTTAATGAAGAAATCTACTGAGATTTAAGACTGCTTCAAAGCAGCAGCTGAAATACAACGGCACCTATGAATAATATATAACCTTCCAGATCCATAACTGATCCTGGCTTCTATCTTAAAAAAGTAATCACAGTAGCTGAATATATATCTGAATATAAACACAAAACCTTTTTTATCAGAGGTTACTAAGTATCTGCATGAGATCTGAGCTTCGAGACTATAAACTGAAATCTGTGTTCACAAGCCTCTAACCCATCAGCTCTCAGGCTGATGTAGCAGAGGAAAAACCTCATCCCAAACACTGTTCAGATTAGAATCTCAGGTTTTCTGGTCAATTGTTGCTCAGCTCAGAACACTTACCTCTGATAATGGTACAGCTTCTCTCTCAGTTAAGCATGCAAAATGTATAAAAGTGGCAAGATTATCAAAATATCCCCTTGAATGCCCAACTGTACTGTTTCAAGAGACTGTTGCCAAAGGTTTAATACCACAACACTCAAAACACAATGAAAACTACATTTTGTTTTTACAAAGAGTATAACAGTCATTGGTCATTTGCATTCATTCATCCCAGCACTACTGAAAACCTGCCTTCTGGATAGGGATGAGAAAACTCCTCAAGTTTTTTTTATCAGGTTGTCTCTTCTTATGTTGCACTAGCCAGTGCATGAGGGTAGGTGAGCAGAAATGCAAGTCTACCAATACACCCATATTTTGACATACACTGATGTCACATAGATCTCAAAAATACAGAAGTTCAGACATTCAGCAAAATATGTTAAAGCACTTTAAATGCTCTCCAGGTGATAAGTAACGTAGTAGTTACTCAGACAAATCAAAGCAGAATGAAATGTTTTGTGCTTATACTTCAAGTTTCAGAATAACATTATTTCTGTCAGAGTATCTCAAGTCCAATGGAAGGAATGTCCCACTGAAATCTGAAGCAAAAGACACCACTTAAAGAAGGAGCAAAACAAGCACTAGTCAGAGTACTGCCTTCCAGAGGTTCATAATAAATAACAAAACAGCAGGAACATGCAGATTTGTTTCTCGATTCATGCTATGTAAAAAAATCAAAAATCAAGAACAGCCCTGCCTGACTTGCCCACATTCAGGGTCTTTTTGGCTAAACTGTTATACTATTGTAAGGAACAAAGGTATTGTCAGAAAACATTATTTACAGAATTATCAGAATGATTACATAAAATCCAGATGAAAATATACAACTTCAGGTTTGAGATAAGCCAAGCAAATTCACTGGTGGTAACTAAAGCACTTTGAATAAGGTGACAGGCACCAAACATCAACATTGAATCACAAAACTACAGAAACTAACAGACAGATTGGGGAAGGCAGAGGTAAAGGAAAGATCACTGAAACTGGAATTATAATTAATACTAGTATACCACAAATCATGGAGCTTCATTAACATTCTATTTTACCAATCATAAAGCTGAATGAAAATCTGTGCTCCTAGACTGTGATTTCTCCAAGTATTGAGCAGCTCTTTTCTTAATGCATCTACATAATGTTTTGCTCTCTACATCTTACAAAATACATCACCACATTTAAGTGTATGATTAGAGACTGTGCTGAAGCCATAGAAAAGCGCTTCATAAATCATAAGGGCAATGAAGTCACTACAATGCTCAGGTCCGGTTTTTGGAAGTAGTTTGGGAAAAATGTGAAGTTTTAGAAAAGGGACTTGGATCCCTGGTTTTCAAACTCTGACCATGCATCATTCAACTCCATGAAGATCATTTTGGCGTACTGCTCATAAGGTTGTCCTGTAGCCTGGAAACAAACAGAATGTATTAGGAGCATAAATATACTGGGAATTATGTTCCATAGGGAAGATCTCACCCCTTTCATATTTGCAATCTTATTCAGCAACTTTAGACTGCTGTGTGAATATAAATTTGCAGACACACAACTCTCCAAAGTTTGCACGAGTATTCTAAACAAAGCCTTGGTTTCCTTACATTACTTCAAACTTTTAATGCAATACATAAGTAACTGAAATGTAGCTAAAAACAGTTTTCAAAGGTGTTATTTTCCTAAAGATTTTTAGTTAATATTAGTTAATGATCAAATCCAGCCATTTTTTGAATTCTTTCCTCATGAACCTTGCAGTGCGTACAAATAACAGAATTCAAACACTACTTAAAATTACTCCTTATGGATGGGATTTCCTGGAGAAAAAAATCTGTTGTTGATTGTGAATGATGTTAAGATTCAACATTGAGGACATAGCACTTCCTGTGCATTTGCCTTCAAAATAAAACAAACATAGCATGCTACTGATTCCCTGTGCACTTCACATCAACCCTGCCTCTGGGCCAGCCCGACCCCTATAGTTAGTAAAGATACAGTTCCACAAGAAAAGTTATTTTAACAGGTTGTTTTCTACACAAAAGAAGCCCCAGAGCCCTTTCAATATCCTCCCTTCCTTCTCCTGCTTTGTTTTTTGCCAGCTGCAGTACTTTCTAGGCATTTTTAGGGATTGCTTTAACTTAAGAGTGGCATTAAAAGGAAGAAAATGCCAGAAGACCACCTGTGTTCCAACACTGATGCATTCAGGGGCTTACAGAGAGCATAAAAAATAAATAAATCACAAAAGGCTGAGTAAGCAACATGGCCAAGAACAGCAGGACTTAGGCTACTTGCTTGCTGAACCACCAGTGAAGGCAAGCCTGAGAATTCAAACCAAATTTATTCAATGCTTATATCTAAAACACAGCCTAGAACAATCACTCAGAGCAATAAGCTACCTTCATACACTGGGAGACTCACAACTGGCAACAGAATCCACAAAATATTTTAAAGAGACAATGGAATATAATATTAATCAAGTATTTTCAACTTCTAATTTTTTAAAGTTTACATTTTCTAGTTCCTAGTCAGGTCATTTAGTGAAGAAGGTTCAGCAAGTTTTTCCCACCAGTTTTGCTGTGCATTCATATACTGGTGAACAGTCCCAATAGATCCGAAGTATAAACTGGTAGAAATGAAGCAGATCCCACTAATCAGCATTAAACCTGTTCATAGTCTGTCAGAACCCAGCATAACCAAATTTAGTGCTCAGTACAACCTTCATGTGATCTTTTATTTCTTAACATTTATCTGTTGAATTTTGTGCTATGTCAGGATAACAAGAAAAATCCTGTGCTATGTGAATGAAGTAGGACAGCAAATACAGAAGACAATGGAAGCCAAGTGAAGAGCATCTAGGGTGCTGATAAAAAAAGTAAAGGTGCAGCATCTGTCAGTGACTAGTATGGTGGGGTAAAAGCAGTTTGCGTTCCTTGTAAAGGAAAGATCAGAGGAACACACTCACCTTATCTGGATGAACTACAAGCACTGCTTTCCTGTAATACTTCTTTACTTGTTCAGGAGTCACTAGATCTGCCATACTGACTGGTTTCCACTTATTTTCCCCTTCCCAAAGCACTGTATGAAGAGTGGATATTAATGCTCTGATATTTCTCTCCTTTCCTTCAATCCATTCAAGAATCTGGGAAAAACAGAATGTATAGAACTGAATGCATCATTATAAGCATTCCTCAATCTATCTAGAGACACAACCTTCACTCTGCACAAGACCACAGATTAAGACTCAATACAGTTGTCTTTCTGCTTTTACCCATCCCATCCCTCAAGTCCAACTGTCTTGCTACCTTCTTTCTGGCACTCAGATCAGCCGTCTAAAAGTGGTATTCTGCATCTGCCATAAGGAAGTAGCTCATTATTAGTCTGTTGCAGAAATTCAGTCACTGCAAGGGAAACTACTGAGATAGTTACATAGTACAAAACCCTGTAAAGTTAATGACAAAAGAACAGACAGAAGTAATTAAAAGCATCTGTCACAATTACATTAACTCCCTGCCACAGCACAACATTAACTTACTGAAACTGTTGAAATTGATTTTTACAGAAGTTTCAGAT